AAAAGAAAAAGATGATTGTACTCACTTGACTGGAAATAAGGACTTATTAGAAAGCTACAGTAAGATGGTTGTGCTACTGGCACACAGGTGAAAAATCAGTGAACAGAATAGAAAGGTCAGAAACAGACTCATATTCTGCAGGGTAGTAAAGTAATGAAAATCTTCTCAACCGGTGTGCTGGAATAATTGGATAGCCATATATGGAAAAAGATGAAACCTAACCCCTTCCTCACACCATACTTATAAATCAATTTTAAAAGGAATGAACCTTCTAGAAGAAAATATAGTAGTAGAATGTCTTTAAACTCAAGGAAAATTTTCTTAATCAGGACACAAAAACACAAACTTTATAAAAGGAAAGCATAATACCTATGATGGTAATACAGCTAAGAACTTCTGTTAACCAAAAGATACTCCTAAGAGAGAGAAAAGGCAAATCACAGAGCAGAAAAGGTTTCTTGAAATACATATATGACCAAAAACAGAATGGAAATCAGAATACATAAAAAACTGCAAATCAAGAGAAAAAAGACAAATAATCCAGGAGAAAAATGGGTAAGAAAATTTAATAGTTACTTTACAAAAAAGGATATCCAAATACTTAATAATCTTAAGAAAACTTCCTCAATCTTATTAGTAATTACAGAAATGCAAATGAACACCACCATAATATGCCATCACACAAACACCCAACGACTAAAAATAAAAATACTCAGAATTGCAAGTATTGGGGAAGATATGGAACACTTCGAGTGTACAATACCAGTGGAGTGAAAATTGGTACAACTGTTTTAGAAATAGGTGACATTATCAAATAAAGTTCAAGATTAATTACCCTAAGACAGAACCATTTCAGTCTGAGGTATATACTCAACAAAAATATAGCCACATATGCAACAAGAAATGTGTATTTTTAAAAGCAGCATCATTGGGCCAGGCGCCGTGGCTTACCCCTGTAATACCCCCATAAGCTCTTTGGGAGGCCGTGGTAGGCAGATCACTTGAGGTCAGGAGTTCGAAACCAGCCTGGCCAACATGGTGAAAGCCTGTCTCCACTAAAAATACAAAGCAGCCAGGCATGGTGGCAGGTGCCTGTAATCCCAGCTACTCCAGAGGCTGAGGGACAAGAATCGCTTGAACCTGGGAGGCTGAGGTTGCAGTGCAGCGAGATCGTACCACCGCACTCCACCCTGAGTGACAGAGTGAGACTCCGTCCAAAAAACAAAAGCAGCATTATTTATCATAGTAAAATTTGGAAACAACCCAAATGTAAAAGAAAAAAAAAAAAGAGATTCCATTTGCAGTCACAATTTGTGTAGGAATGAATTTCCGAAAATATATGCAAAGACATGATGAAGAAAATATAAAATATTATTAAAGAATGAACAAAATCAATCACATGTATAACTTAATATCACAAAGTTGTCAGTTCTCTCAAGTTAATCTATAAATTCAATGTAGTTCCAATGAAAATCCTAAACGTGTTTTATAATGGAACTTGACAAAATTATTTTAAAATTTAATGTATGAATAACGTTCCAAGAAGAGCAAGACAATTCTGCCTCTATCAAACTACAATATAAAGCTACAATAATTACAAAAGTGTGATATAGAGAACTTAGAAACAATTTTGAATATTTGTAGAAACTTGGTATATGATTGAGAGGAATTACAAATAAATGGAGAACAAAATAGCATGCAATTGATGGTGTTAGGACCATTGGTTACCTATATGAAAAAAAAAAACTTCCCCCAAATTTCAATTAGATTAAAGACCCAAATATTAAAAATGCAACTTGAAGATTTTTGAAGAAATGTAGAATATCTTTACTACCTCAGTATAGGGGTGAATTTCCTAAACATGACAGAAAAGCATGAAATACATACACACACATAGACTAACACATTTTACTACATTCAAAATTACAAACTTCTTTCCAGCACAATGTAATCCCAGCACTTTGGGAAGCTGAGGCAGGTGGAACATTTGAACTCCAGGAGTTTAAGACCAGTCTGGGCAATATAGGGAGACCTTGTCTATATAAAAAATACAAAAATTACCCAGGTGTGGTGGCGCATGTCTGTAATCCCACCTCCTCAGAGGAGTTGAGGTGGGAGGATCACTTGAGTACAGGGAGATTGAGGCTGCAACGAGCCGAGATTGAGCCGTTCTACTCCAGTCTGGGTGACAGAACGAGACCGTGTCTCAAAACAAAACAAAAATTTACAAACTTTTATACGACAAAGTAAATCACAATCAAATTAAAAAAAACACACACACACAGTGGGAGAATATACTTGCAATACTAAGAGAAATTGACATTCAGATTCTTTAAAGAACTCGTATAAATCAATAATAAAGTATTTCTACTATCCTGATACTACTGGTAACCTGCAGGCAGCAACCAATCAGAAGACAGCAAGACTAATACAAATGAACATTTTAAAAAAGAGGCTTCTCTGGTGCATACCAGCTGGATATCCTCTAAACAACCACAAAAAATCAACAAAATATTAAGTGAACACTTACATTATGCAAACCCCTTCTCAGCAAAAGTTTTTAGAAAAAAGTCAAATTTCAAATCCTTCAAGCAAGGAATTAGCATTAGTTAATAGAAAACTGATGCTACTGCTTGATAATAACGTTTTAGTTTGAGCAATGTGAAATGGCCATTTTTAAACCAAAAGATGGTTAAAAAACTGGCAACTTCAAATGATTCAACCTCTATCTTCTTAATTTAACTATGGTATTGTAAATTGCCAGTTTATACAGAATATTCAAACCTGTAGAGCTAAACACTGAACCTGTATATTAACTAATGGGCTTGAAACTAGTTCTCAATAAGACTAAAACTTCATTTTACTGAATTATATAAGTCAGTTTACAGCGTTATGTTTTCCTGGAATTTGATATAAAAATGGTTTTACAGCCTTCTAAGAATGTAATTCTTCATGTTTGTCAAAAATTGTGAAATATCCTTACATGATTATTCAAAGCCTAAACCTGAATGAGAGAAAATCTAACTGAACTTAAATTGTTTGGTTTTACAAGTGGCTTTTCTGCCCATTTTAACCCCACCAATTTAAACTTCTTTGTATCATTACACTAGAAAAAGTCCAGTATAATTTTTGAAATAGCATCTCTGGGTTGTTCCCTTAATCTAAAAGATTCTCACCAAGTTTAAGAACAACCTTAAATAAAAACAGATATATTGACCAATGGAACAGAATAGAAAGCCCAGAATAAATCCACCCATTTTTCAGCTGATCTTCGACAAAGGTGCCAAGAATCCACGATGAGGAAAGGACAGTCTCTTCAACAAACAATACTGGGGAAACTGGATAACCACTTGCGGAAGAAGGAAATTGCACCCTATCTCACCCAGTATACAAAAATCAACTCAAAGTAAAGACTTAACTGTGAAACTTGAAATTGGAAAACTACTAGAAGAAAACATAGGGGAAAGCTTCTTGACATTGGTCTGGGCCAAAATTTTTTGGATATGACTGAAAAGCATAGGCAAAAAAAGAAAAAATAGACAAATGACATTGTATCAAACTGAAAAGCTTTTGCACAGCAAAGGAAACAATTATAAAGAGACAACCTACAGAATGGGAGAAAATACCTGCAAAGCATATATTCGAGAACAGGGTAATTTTTTTTTTTTTAAAAAGGAACTCAAGCAACACAATAGCAAGAGAACAAGTTACTTGCCTAAAAAATGGGCAAACAACCTGAAAAGATATTTCTCAAAAGAAGACATATGAATGGCCAAGAGGTATACGAAAAAATGCTCAACATCATTAATCATCAGGAAAAGCAAATTAAAACCACAAAGAGATATCCTCATACCTGTTAGGATGGTGACTAACAAAAAGACAAAAGAAGAGTTGGTGAGGATGTAGAGAAAAGAGAACCCTCTTGTACACTGTTGGTTTGAGTGTAAATTAGTAGTTATTATGGAAAACAGCATGGGGATTCCTCAAAAAACTAAAAATAGAACTACCATATGATTTGGAGATTCCACTTCTGGGTATATATCCAAAGGAAATGAAATCTGCACTCCCATGTTCACTGCAGCCTTATTCATAATAGCCAAGCTATGGAGTCAATCTAAATGTCTGGATGAATGGATAAAGAATATCTGCTATATATAAATAAGAACATACTATTCAGCCTTAGAGGATATCCTGTCACTTGAGATAATAAGGATGAAACTGGAGACCGTTATGTTAAGCAAAAGGAGCCAGGCATAGAAAGACAAATATTGGATGTCTCACTTATTTGTGGACTCTAAAAAAGTCAAATTCATAGAAGCAGAGAGTAGAATGGTGGTTACCAGGGGCTGGGGGGAACAAAAAGGAGGGATTGTGGAGATGTCAGTTAAAGGATGCAAAATTTCAGTTAGACAGGAAGAACAAGTTCAGGAAATTCATTGTACAACATGGTGACCACAGTTAATAATAATATAGACTTGAAAATTACTCAGAGAGTGCAATTTAAATGTTCTCACCACAAAAAAGTAAAAAGTATGTGGAGTAATGCATATGTTAATTAGGTTGATTTAGCCATTTTACAATGTTTACATATATCAAAACATCATGTTGTATGCCATAAATATACTTTTTATTTGTTAATTTAAAAATAAAAATAGCAGCCTTAAATAAAAGTACTCTGACACTCCAAAATTAAAGACTTTGTATTTTGAGAGATATAAACTGGCAAACGAAAAATAAAGATATCCAAATAGTAGAAAAACAAGGGAAAATATGCTCAACCCTCCTTAGTTCTTTTTTCCTTCCCTTCCTTATCCTCTCCCTGTCTCCTACTCTTGTTCCTCTCCTCTTTCCTTTCTCCTTCCCTTCTTTCAGTCTTAGAGCTAATATTTTTAAATGCTAACAATTACTAATACTTAATAGCAACACATATCTTGTTCCTGTGCTTTACATGTATTTACATGTCTTTAGAACGGGAGGAATAAAAAGGAAAACGTTATTACCTTTGCCTCCTTTACAGTGAATCACTATGATGTTTTCAGGATCTTGAGCCAGCCACTCCTCTACTTCCTTGGAGAATGCTACCATCTCCCTGATTTCAAGTTTAGGATTTTTAGTTGAATTAAAATATTTTCAAAAAATCAAGCCCAATATATTTAGCCCCCTTCTGATAGTCAACGTAGCATAAAACTTACCATAGAGTGGGGACATTATGATCATCAATCATGATTCTACTGACCCTATTATGGAAATGCTTAGGATCATAAGCTCTTTCACCTAAAATAAATAACATGTATGTCATATCTCTCTATATAACACAGTAAATGATGAAGTTATGAATCATATAAAATATCTTATTAGAAATTCCCTATCCATTTCAAAAGGAGCTTTCCAAGTTGCTCCTGCTGCTCTAAATAAAATAAACTTAAGGGTCTCAAAAACAGAAGGATAGTAGTGGACTATCCATCTCACGTCACCTAAACTCAACTTATTTTGGTTTAATAGGTGTAATTTTTAACTTTCTAGCAGACTATTCATTATATTATTGCAGGGTAGTTAGAAACCATGCAAGAGGCAAATGTAGCTGGCCAAAATGATTGCCCCCAGTCTATTGAGTATACAGGTAGAGAAAAAAATTAAGACAGAGTGGTAAGCTGGGTTGCGACCGATTTTCTAAAGAGTTTTTTTGCTTTTTTCCCGTCTGCGGCCCTGCTCTCATCATAACCCACTGCTAATGGATCAGGGGATTCATTTGTTAAATTGTCTATGTCCTCGTAACACAATCTGGCAGGAAAAACAGACAGATTTTCCTAAACCTAGTATCGCCAGAACAGATCTTCCCTAAAATGGTTTGCCTCCACTCCAGCCTCATTAGTCCTGCCAGAGCTGCCTCCTTCATAAGGGTACTCTGTGCTCCTGGGCTAACTTTTTCTACCAAATGGGGCCAGTCCAAGATAGGGATTTTTAAATTCCTTCTGCACCAGCGCCAAATACTTATGATTAAATGCAATGTAAAAAACAAAATCATCTTCTTACATTCAGTAATCTGTTTTCTATCTACAGTAGCAATATACAGAGTAATGTACATACTGCATAGATTGTAGACTCGATAGTGGTTTGGATGTTTCTTGTCTAGAAACTGTACAACTTCCTAAAACAGAGAAACACATATTTTACATATTTGTGTGGCACCAACATAAGCCATTTCCTAGGAGGAACCTAAAATGGTTATTACTTTCTATTACTTTGTCTCTCACTAGCATCTTCTAGGGGAGACTCAGGGAATACAAGGGTATGCCAATTTCAAGTTCTAATCCACTGTGGTTTTTCAAATAGTCCACAAATATGTTTGACTACTCAGATTAGCCTCTATTGTAAATACATACTGTTTAAAGCTATCAGAAAAGTACATTAGATGGTTAACGAACTTTAAGTAAATTTGTTCCAAACCATTAATTCACAGTTAATGTGATTTTTATTTAAATCTAATTCATATTGGTTCTTATTTAAATTTAATTCTGAATAGGTATGTCTTTTAGATAGTGATTTGAATATTACATTCTACCTAAGCACTATGTAAGCAAATAAATGCAAAAAGTATTACAGTATGATTGTGTGTGTGTATGCATGATAGAAAAAGACAAACATATCAATTTATAAATAACTGGTAACTATATGGAGACTTTTTTGGCTCACCTGTTCTCTTAGTTTTTTAATGAAGATATATATGTACCAGTAAGTGTGTGTGTGTGTGTGTGTGTGTGTGTATGTATAACCTTTCCAATGAAAAACAAATAGTAGTTATTATTTGAAATATAGTTAATATAACTATATGAATCCAACAATATTTTCAGGAAATATATCTTTCTGAAACATACACACACACACACACATATGTATATATCTCTATGTTACAACAAAAATGACACAAAATTTCAAAAACTGATTAGTATAGTACCCTCAGAACAATGTTTACTGGCTTAATATTGAGGAAAAATAAAATTAAGCCATCGAAGTCATCCATTTATTAAATTGGTTATCTATGTTAGGAGGAAATAATAAGTCAAAAAGATGAATACCCTGAATCTGCATAGTGGCAGAGGGGAAGGATAAAACATTTCATTTCACATACTTCAGAATTCATGAATTTTCTTACATAAAATCCATATAGGTTTAGAAATTACGTATTAAAAACTACAACTATCTATGAGAAACTTAAGTGAATTTTAATCAATTCTTTGGATGAGGAAGAACTAAAAGTGTTGAATCAACGGAAGATCAATAGCCTTGGGTTTGACTTCATAAAATTCTGAAATTTCTGTTTAAAAATGCTATAATGAACAATAGGGGAAAATATTTTTTTCAGAAAAATGGACTGTTGGGGACTACATCTAGGATAATAAATTAATAATTCATTAACAACAACTTAAATATTACTCCCTCACCTTATAGATAAATGGGCCAAGGACACAAACAATCCATAAAAGAGAAAATCAAACTGATTAACAACCTACATAAATATTCAGTGTCGCCAATAACGAAGTCAAAACAACAGTGACATGACCTTTGCACCCATGAAATTAGCCCTTTCTCTTTTAATGAGAAAATCCAATGCTGGCAAAATAAGACATGACATTAAAAACTTTGATTTATTGTTGATACAATAATACAATTGCTCTTGGATTTGGCAATATATATTAAGAACCCTAAAAATACTCATTCTCTTTAACTAGGTAAGTTCACTTCTAACAATCTGTACAGAAAAAGCCTTATGCTCAAAGATATTTGTTGCTGTATTATTGATAATAGTGACACTTAAATGTCCAACATTAGAGGTTAATCACAGCACTAATGAAATATCATGCAACCATTAGAACACTGTCCTGTTCTTCATTCTCTCAACCAGTAAATATCTCAATGCAGTAATTTATGTGCAGTCTTCTTTAGTATACATATATAGAAAAACAGCTGGCCGGGTGTGGTGGCTCATAGCTGTAATCCCAGCACTTTGGGAGGCTGAGGTTGGTGGACCATGAGGTCAGGAGTTCAAGACCAGTCTGGCCAAGATGGTGAAACCCAGTCTCTACTAAAAATATAAAAATTAGCCAGGCACGGTGGCAGGTGCCTGTAATCCCAGCTACTTGGGAGGCTGAGGCAGGAGAATCTCTTGAAGCTGGGAGGCGGAGGTTGCAGTGAACCGAGATTGCACCACTGCACTCTAGCCTGGGTGACAGAGCAAGATTCCACCTCAAAAAAGAAAAAAAAAAAAGAAATGAAAAAGAAAAACAGGCAATATTTGCTTTTTCGTGGGAAGACAAATATCCCTGGAGGGTTAAACTTTAGGGATTTTCTGAATCCCCTTCCTAGTTTTCTCAATGTCTAAAATTAAATTACATATATATATACACATATATATGTGTGTGTATGTGTGTGTATATAGTTTTTGTAATTATATATGTGTATATATACTTTTAATAATTATATTTTTTATATATATATAGAGACTCAATATATTGATGATTTACTGCTGTGTTTCCTGATCTAAGTAGTTTACTGAAGGCTCCAAATACCTCTTATTCAAAGGTGAAAAGGGACATAAAGAATCTAGAGAAAAGGTGAACTCTGCAAAGAATCTACATTTTTTTGGTCACAAGCTGTCACCAGATGGATAGTTTCTATTTTCAACCAGAATAAAGAGCATTCAATTCTACCAAGAACAGAAATTAAAAGATGGCTAAGAAGATTTTAGGACTGTAGGTAATTGTATATCTCATATCTCAGCCTTTGCATGGGCTTACTAAGTTTATAATTTCTGATGCAACTTCCTTGTGATGCAAAAGTAGAAAATACTACTCTGTGAAAGCCTTCTTGCAACAATCTCCACCTTCGGGTTTTCCTAAATCTGCTCAACTCTTCTCTCTGCCTATCTTAGTACATTCCTTGATTTGGAGGCAAAGGTACACCCTCTGCACCTGCATGAAGTGGTAGCAGTGGCCAAACTTGTTGATGCTTCCACCACAGTGCTTGTGTGTCCACTAACTCTATGGGTCCCTCATCTCTTAAAGTTTCTGCTACTTCAAGGCAGCATCTGACACTTCTCCACTAGTAAATTTACCACTTATGAAATTGTAAGGTCTGCTTTGCATATTCAATATTGTTTGAAATGTAACCCTGCAAATTTATTATCTTTTAAGAATAAAGAGGAATCGCATGACTGTTTAGCATCCTCTCAGGAGCTAAGTATACCCGGATTTGAATCATGTACCTTTTAGTCAGCCTTGATTTAATACACACTGTGGATGGTTCTCAAAAATGACAAAGGCATTCCAAGTGCAGAATATGCTGTTGTCATTGAACATGCAATGACTGAAGTGTTCCATGGCCTAATTCTCGGCCTGTCCAGGTAGCTGAACTAGTAGCTTAGATTTGGGGCTGCGCTCTGGCAAGATGAAAGACTAAATATTAATATAGACAGTAGATTTACTTTTTGGGTGGCTCATGATTTGTGGCATTTATTGAAACACATGATTTATTACCTCCTTTTTGGATACTCTCATTAAAAATGGTAAAGAAATCAGTGAGCTATTAGTACTTTGTCAATGCCCTAAGGAGATAACAGTTTAATAACAGATAGAAACCAATAGTCTAGCGATCACCCCACAAGGAAATAGTAATGTCTTTGTTTTGATTTACATGCTAAGTGAAGTTTTTGGCTTTTAAAAATGCCCCAGCTAATATTAAGTGTTGCCAAATTGATATTAGGCACCACCAAAACTACTAAAAGAAAATTGACTCAATTTAGACATGCCATAATTAACTCACAGTTATTAGCTCAACCGGCTTTAAAAATCAATATTAGCAATCAAAAGATGCTTTACCCATAAAGATGGAATTTGGGGATGGCTGCCCTCAAGTGGCATGACCCATCCAATGGACCCTGGTCATGTTACTCCATGACTGTTCCCATTATGGGAGAGGAAAAGTAATTCCACCTCAAATAAACAGTTTGAAACAATTTTCAAAATTGGCCAAGGGTGTGGTAGAATCATGTCTTAGCTGGGAATAGCATAACCTGGGTGAGATGTGGGTCAGATCCTTCTATTCAAGGTCTTTGGGTATTTACAAATGCATTTTTATACAACTGCTGAAGCCTTGTGTTTCTGACTATATAGTAGTTATTTCTTGTAAACTATCTGCATGTATAAAAATGCTTCCCTGCCTGAGAAAAAGGTAGAATGATTCCATCAGTGGTCCCAATTCTTCATCTTTTCCTGAATCCCAGCCTTCACATTTCACTTTGTAGTGCCCTTTCACTATAACTTTTGGTTCTATTATGTGAGTTGACTTGGTCAATGGGATGTCACAAAGGAGAGGCCTGCAAAAGCACTCGTAAGATTCCACTCTAGCTCTTTCCTTTTGCCATTACCCTGAAACATATCCATCATATTCTTCCTGATGGAGGATGAAGATGAGTTCAGCAGATAGGAGTTATCCAAGACACCAAAGCTAAGGTAATCGTAGACCAGGAGATAAAGACATTTCAAGGAAAGAAAATTTCATATCACTCACGCACATAGATGAAAAGTTCTAAATAAAATATTAGCAAACAGAATCTAGTGATATATAAAAAAGACAGTACATTAAGACCAAAGGGAGTTTATTCCAAAAATAAAAAAGGTTGGTTTAACATTTGAAAATCTCATTAAGGGAAAAACACAAAAACACTTTGATTACCTTGATAGATCCAGAAAAAATACAGAATCTACTCAACACCAATTCATGATTCAAAACTTTTAGCAAACTAGAAATAAAATGGATTGGCTTAATCTGGTAAAGAATGACTACAAATGCCTATAGCAAACATCATTTCAAATAGCGAGGTATAAAATTCCTTCCACCTGAGTTTGGGAATAAGGCAAAGCTGCCTCCTCTTACCATTTCTATTCAATATTACAGTGAAAGTCTTAGATAATTCAATAAGGAAAGAAAAAAAGTATAAAAACTGGGAAGAAAGTAGTAACTTTATGATTGTATACATAAAATCCCAGGGAATCTACACATTAATTATTAAAATGAATGTGTGAATTTATGAGGGATGCTAGATATAAAGTTAATATACAAGGCCAAGTGTGGTGGCTCACATCTGTAATT